CTTGTTGATGCGGGCTGGCACTATATTTGCTGGGGTAGTGACCGGCGTCTGGGGAGGGCTGGATTCTTGGGAAGCCACTGCAGCCCAGGATCTTTTTTCCTGGGTTCCAGTGACGACCGTCTTGACTTCCTCGGCCACCACTTTGCGGAGGATGGCCAGTGAGATGGTGCCCGTTTGGTCCTGGGCTGCGTTGTGGATCTTGCGGACAGCTGTAAGGAGGTCTTGCCCCATGCCTCTGGCCGTCCCTTTCTTTTCTGGGTTTGCCAGCGCTACCAATCCGTCAACTATCTTCTTAATAGCGTCGATGTCGGAGGGTGGAGGGGAAAGAGGGGGTGTCGGGGGGCACTTGAGTGCGGTGACCGGGCCGGCCCTCCTCCTCTCCCGTCAGTCGGAGGGATTGCGGCGGTCATCCTGTACTATTCAGGGGCTCAGGGGCTTAGGGGGTAGTCGCCTGGGCAACTGTGGGTGGGGGTTGGGTGGCTGGTTGGTCCGTGCGCCAGCGAAATTTTTTTCCCGGTGGTGGTGGTCTGCAGCACCCTGAGCCGCTCTACTTTCTACACCCGCTGCGGCCACGCAACGTGTTGCGTGGGCGTGCAAGCGGTGCAGTTAGATAGAGTTTCTCCAGAGCTCGCGAACGGTGTCATTTTTGCAGATTTAGGAGCAGTCGCCATTTCCAATGTTGACGTGGTACGAGTCCACGCCGAAGAATGTCATGATGGAGTCCCTTGAGGAGTCAGGTAGGGGAGTGATCCGAGAACCGACCAAGCAATCGAAAATTCGCTTTTCTTGGACCTCCTTATCGCATAATTTTCGATCTCCACTATGTTATGGCGGCACTAAGTCGAGAGCCGTGCTACATGCCAATACGCGTAGAAGATATTTGCACTCCGCCCGCGGGGTGGTGACCGAATGTTTTGAACCCACTGCAATTCACAACTGCCTATATCCGCGATACTGACACTAGCTGCCTTTGCAGTCGCGAAGCCTACGACGACTCCTCATGGGCTTACGGATGAGAATATAGAGATTTAGTATTTTGTTCTAGTTACTAAGCAGTTAATGTCTTCCCGGGTTTCTGGCCCACCTGGCTCAGCCAAGCCTATTACTCGTCAAACCACTCGTGTGAGAGACGAGTAGCATCTAGGCGAGCCACGAGGGCACTGCGAATACTGACTCAATTCTGCTAATCAAAAGCTGAGGAAGAAAGGAGGAAAGATACAGGGTGCGCGTCTCTCACGCAAGAAAAGGTCTGTTGGGCTGAGGATCCGTCACACAACGCCTTCCTCCTTTCCTTGGCTCTCTGCATCTCAACTTCCTCAGTCTCCCTTGATTTTGCTCTAAGATAGCTTCAACAGCAAGGGCAGGTGCCTCGCCATTGCGTTTTCTTGTAGCCGTTTCATCCTTGTGTAGTTTTTTTTTTTTTTTTTTTTTTTTTTTTTTTTTTTTTCACATGGCCCTTCATTCAACGCAAGGTAGACCGCGATATATCGGACCATCTAACCGCTTTCTCTTTTCGCTGGAGACTTTTTTGGTGCAAATAGCTTCGATTGCGAGCCGGATACGTTGTTATGATGATTGCCCGAACTAGCAGACTGAAGGTTAGCTATCTTGCTTGCAAAAGGAAGAAACTACCTGCTTGCTGTGACACTTGTTGCTGTGACACTTGTGATTGAAGTTGGTGTGGAGTGATCGAGAGAGTAGCTTGAAGAAACTGGGCCGAGAAACCGATGGGAGACATTACTGGAAACCTAAAGCTCTTCCTACTCCATCTCGATATCGCTCCAGTCCTTTCCTTGAGGGAATCTCAACCTAGATTCCGAGAAAGCCTCGAACATCATCGTCTCGCTTGTGGTCCTCTGGGGAGGTTTTGGAAACCCCGCGTGCACGGGGTCTTTTTGTCTAGCAATGCTAGCTGGTGGGAGAATAGGAGAACGCGTAAGGGGGGAGGATCGCCTCAGCTGTTCTTCCCTAGGACTTCCTTCGGAAGATGGATAGGCCCCTGGAAGGTGGGTTGGAGATTGCCTTGGCTGTCCCTCCCTAGGGCTGTCTTCGGAGGAGGATAAACTAGGAACCCTGAATCCGGAGGAAGTCCCCAGGGGGGGAGATCGCTTTGGTTGTCGTCCCCTGGGGCTTTCTTCGGTGGAGGATGAACTAGGAACCCTGAATCCGGAGGAAGTCTCAGGAGGGCGGATTGGCGGACGCCTTAACCGCGTGTTGGAAGGTGCCTTATACTCAGGGAACTCGAGCAATCCCAACAAAGCGAGATCGGCCGCGTCTTGTAGAGGGCCGGCCCTTCTCGTGCGTCCCAACGGCTTGATATCTGTTGTTACCGCGGCATTCTGGATTGCCTTTCTTTTGCCCATTCCGTTCTGTGGTTCCATAGAGCCTTCTTTGCGCGGTTCGACGAGTGATTGGTCCGAGTAAATAGCTGCATCTTGGGATAGCTTCCGTCTTTTGCCCCTATTAGATGGGGAGCGTTCGGTTCGCAAAGGGCTAGACACCGCATTAGGCTCCGAGGGTGTCTTCCTAACCAGGCGGTTAGTGGTGCTACTATCAGCCTGAGGCGGGTGCTCTGTTGCTAGAGAAGGCAAAGGCTCTTGTATAAGGTCCTGTTGTGTCCGACTAAGCACCGTAGGAGGTTCTTGCTGACTAAGCGAACGCTCCTGTGTCTGTAGGGATGAAAACCTCGCGCGGGGCAGAAACTCTTGTGTCTGGTTCTGCGGAGGATAGATTTGGGATCGCCTCAAAGACTCGCTAGCTGTTTCGTCTCCCGGAGGACTGGGAACCTGAGTAGGGAGCCTTGGGGGAGCGATCGGAGAACGCCGAGTTCGGCGGTTCTGGGAAATCGGACTCCGAAACGAAGGTGACTTGCTGCGGGACCTGGCTCGGGACCAGCCGCGTAGTCTGTTTTCCTCATCCTGTAGATGTTCCTGCTGCATAGGATCCTCCGTCTGATGGGGCATGAGTTCTTGATTCTCCGTGCGCTCGTCCGTAAACATGGTTGACTTGGGAAACTGGGCCGCACGTGTCTGGCTCTTCGGAGGATATATGGCCAACCGTCCCGACGGCTCTTCTCCGGTTGGTTCGGCTCCGGGGAGATCGGGGACCAGAGGAGGACTGGGTGGCCGGATAGGAGATCGATTCGACGGCGCTCCCTTCGCCCGATCTGGCCCGTCATCGGTCTCCTCAGTTTCTGTCGTAGGAGATTGCTGTAAAGGGCTCTGTGTCTCATCGAGCCCCTGCCCCTGAATGACCGGACTCTTAGGGAGCTGGGGCTCTTGCGTGGGATTCCGCGGAGACTTCCTCGGCGGCATTTCTATAGCTGTGTCAGCCCCTGGAGGGCTAGGAACTGGGAGTAGGGCTGTGGGAGAGGATTATAGATCGTGGAGGCCCAAATTTGGGCCGCTCTCGACGGCTTCGAGAGTTAGGATTTCGGGGGACGGGGAACCTGCTGCGTGACTCGCGATTCGGCCGTCTGAATTGCCTGTAGCGTTCATTAGGATTGCTCTTCTCGGCTCGATGTCGGGCTTCTGCTCTCTGAGACCGCGCAGGGTCCTGTGTGGGATCGGCTATCGGCCCTGGGATCGGCTCTTGTACCGGCCCCTCGTGTGATGTGTTCTGGCTCTCTGGCACTTCAACGGGCTCAGGCGCTCGGGATTGTCTCGCCAGCTCTTCTGTAGCTGTTGGGCCGGTAGGACCGGGAGGCAAGATTGGGGACCGTGGCGGCCCCGCTTTAGGCCGTTCTCGGCGGTTTCGGGAGATGGGAGTCCGAGAGGAGGGGGATTTGCTGCGTGGCTTGCTATCCCGCCGTCTGGGCGGCCTGCGATCGCTGTTCCGATCGCCTCTGGGAGGCGGAGTCTCAAGTGTCTCGGCAAGCACTGACGCTTGCACGTCTACTGGCGTTGGATTGGGTATTGGCGCTTGCGTCCCATCAGGTAGAGGCGGAGTGATCTCCTGCATAGGGAAGGAAAGCTCATGCCGAACTTCTTGCGTTTGGCTGGGTAGGCTGGAGGCCTGACCTCCGTGTGCAGAGAGCAGGGTCTCGTTGACCTGCATCGGTTCCTCAGGACCTGCGTCTCGTGTGACCTGTTCCTCGTCGTCGACCTGCATGCTTAGCCCACCCGGAGCAGACCAATTGATTGGCATTTCTGGTCCTTCAGTCATGTACGAACAAGGGCCGAAAAAGGCCTCCATAAAATCCTTTTGCACGAAGGCTGCCGTCACGTCTCTTCTACAACCGGCTTGTTGGAGGGTGGGCAGGAAGGCGTCGCGCCGCAGGTCAAAGAAATTTCCAACGGATGGCTTTCCGCCTCGCCAGTCCTTTGCTTGCGTATCCCTATTCCACTCCATCGGACGTGGCAACGGGGGCGCTTCGGCGAGCCCACGACTGATTTTTGTCGTGCGAAAGCCAAGTTGTCTCGCTCGGGCGCGGCGCCGGAAGACGTACCAATCGTCCTTGCCAGCTGCCGGGGGGGGCTCACCGCGCCTGTCTTGGAGCAGCGGGTCGTTCGATAGATGAGGAAAGTCCCTCTGACCGTCGAGGAAGAGCAGATAGCAGGCCAATTCCGTGTTCAAGGAGAGTAGACGCTGAACAACGCCTTCCGCAACCTCCACGATAGGCTCGGCTGTTGGTTTCCAACATGCACGTAGGCTCTGGAACAGAGCGTCGCCTCCATTCCTCCTTAACTTATCGGGCTCATCGTCGACGATATATTTTCTCAAGATCTTGGCCCCGATCGAGAAATATATCATGTTTTGGTGCAACGTCTCGAAGCTAGGAACAATGACGTTGAGGGAGAATAGGTTTTGTTTAATCCTTTGCCGGACCGACGCGTCTTTTACGCCACGGAGAAATTGGCCCGTATCTACCATCCGTCGGATATAGCGTCTATCGGCGCTATTCGAGGGATTACGGCGCTGTACGCAGCTGATAGAGTCGTCGTCGAAATATGGTACCAGGGGGGGATTGCCGGCTGTGATCTTCCAAAAAAAGATGTCGAAGATGCGGCGGACGTATCGTACCAAGTTCTCGGAGCAGAGTAATGCGAGATACTTGTGCCATATTCCGAGCTTGAATCCTCTCCTCATGCCGGGAAATTGGAGAACCTCCCAGAGTGATTCTATGATGTCCTTGTTCTTGAGTTTCCCGTTTTCCTTCCGGAGCAAAAGGTTGAGTATTTTCTCTTTGTCTTCTGACAGCTCCAGTCTCCAACTCTCGGCTTTATCCGTCTTCCCAAGCTCAAAACTGAAGATGTGATAGCAGATTTCGCCGTCTGGATATTTGGTCTGGCGCGAGAAGATCGATACGTTGGGATTGCGGTAAAGCTTCACGGGCCAGTAAAAATTTTTCCCAAACCTCCTTCGAGCCGCGGCGGTTCTCTGCCGTCCATCAAGACAGAGGATGCATCTCCGAAGAGGTACCAGTGGGTATTTGCCTGTTTGAATGGTGCTCCGCAACTCGGCTTCGGAGATGCCGAGTGCGAGCAATACTCTGTTATATGTCGCGGCATTGATTTCGCCCTTGATATGATGCTCCCATTTGTCGGGCCGGCAATCCTTCCCGAAGAGGCGGGAAAGACGCCTAACGGCTGCCGCGTCTTGGCCTCTTCCCCTACCGGGCTGGTAGGTAAAGGCATTCAACGGAACTCGAATAATGCCGACAATACGTTCGTCTGCCATTGTCGATGCATAGGATTGAGGCCCAGAGACCTCATACTCAGCAGTTTGGTTCGCCATAAATCTACGTCGAGTATAATGAGATTGGCGCCCTGTAACCGGGGATAGAGGAGCCCCCGCCCGAGACCGGGCAAGCCGATCCGCGTTTGCGGGTGCTTGGCAATCCTGTTTGCCTGACCTCCCGGACCCGGGATGCCGGGTCCGCTTCGCCACCCTCTCAACTCCCGCCTCCGGAAGCACAAACACAGATCCAATCGTGATCTGTTGCTCTGGTGAGTTCGAAGGTGGGCCTAAGCGCGGGGATCCTTCTGGGTCTCCCTTGCAACCCAATATAGTAGTTTTATTTAGAGCAAGATAATTTTAACAACAAGACCTGCTAGCCACGTGACCTCACGAACTCAAAAAGCTCGCTAGTGGACCTCGCTTCGCTGCAGGTGGAGATGTTCAAGAGGGTGTGGGAGAGGAGCATGCTGATATACTGGCTAGATAAACAATCTGGCGTCGACGTCCTAGAACCAAGGCCCATGGTAGGATTCTGAGGCGCTGGGGGCGCAAGTGAGGGGAACGACAAAGAGGGTACTGGGACAGAGCCTAGAGAGCTCGGGGGGGAGTGGTAGGTAGGCCGGGTTGCGATGAAGTGGGATGGATGGTTCGTTCCCGATAAATCAAGTAGTACGAACGCCAAGTCATATCATATTATAAATATTCTTCCGTTATGTTTGCATGCTCTGTTGACATGGATATCGAGTTTCAACCCCCTCGACAAGCATATGTTCGAATTCATAGATAAATATATCAACCCCATTTAACCAATCGTACAACGTCTGCCTAAAGGTTCCTATGTTCACTGCGGCATCTAGTGCAAGAACGTGCGGGATCTCAATCTCGGCGGGACCGAAGCGTTCTCGAAGAGCGCGCAGGACCGGGGAGAAGCTTGGGTACTGCGAAAGCCACAGCATCTGATTCGCGGACGCTTTGACAGTGATAAAAGAGGCGGGCAGCTCTTCGCGATTTGCTACCTTCCAGCCGCCATCGTCGCCCTTGACTATTCCTTCTGGGAAGGAACTAACTCTACATCCACATGATGTAATGTCCTCTGTGGAAGTCAGTCTGGGGATCTCTCCTTTATCTTCGGCTTCTTTCTGTATATCCTGCAGGCACAACGGCAAAGCACGTCTCAGCTCTATATACTCTGACGCTCTCGTTTTGATAGCGACGACTGCCTCCGTAGCGCCTATGGCGAGGATCTGGATAAACGACCAGCGCTTCGAGGGTAAAGTGGGTTCAGCAAGCATCCATAGGATGCTATTCGTATGCTTTCGCTTTGCAAGCCATGCAAGCTCTTTGGTGGTTGCATCGCTCCTCAGGAATGCTAGGCAATTGAGGACCCGAGAGTATGTTCGAGCGACTTCCTGTACGGGCTCTGTATGAAGAAAGAAGATGGTGTGACTAATCGCCAGCACACCATCAATGCAGTTACAAATCAAAAGATCGTGGACTGGATTTTGCACCAGCTCAGGCCGCATCATAGACGAATTGGAGGTTGGCAAGATTCATTATTGTATTTGTTTTCATGGGTGTAAGTTGCATTTATAGCAAATGGCAGAGCCCCGTGCTACCGGGATCCCGGCGAAAATCTGGGCCAAAGGATGGAAATCGAAGCACAGATCCTACCACACCAGATCCGTGGCTCCAGGCCACACCCAGATCCGTGGCTCCAGGCCACACCCAGATCCGTGGCTCCAGGCCACATCTAGATCCATGGATCCAGGCCACACCTAGATCCCCGGCTACACCCAGACCCGGCCACACGCAGATTCCCGGTCACGCCACAGCTCCAAGCCCTACCCAGATCCCTGGTTCCAGGCCATAGCCGGTCCGGCCCGGACACCCAGACCAGTGACATCCCACATT